TCGACAACTTTTCTGTTTTAGTTTCAAAATTAAGTTATACAAATTAAATTGTAATATAAACATAAATGGTATTATAAACATAAACATAATATAAATATAATTTCAAAAATATCCCTAAACACCAACGCTAGTGTTTTTAATTGTAATACTTAACGCCAAAAAGAAAAATCAACGTGATTATGTATATATAGCGTTAATTCATTAGTTCAAGACCAATCCTTTGACGTGCCAGTTCGATATTAACTACCTTCACTTCCACACGTTGGCCTATATGGAGATTCTTCTTCATACGGCTGACATGTATAAGACCCTCTTTACCAACGCCCACATCTACAAATGCTCCAAAATGCGTGACGTTCCGCACGACGCCGCTTAATGTGGTTCCGACGATCAAATCTTCAATACATCGCACGCTATTACGAAACAGCGGCTGATTCAATTTCGATCGTATATCCTCGTCTTTCTGCATGGCCAGAGCTTTAACTATCGTCTCCATTGTAGTTTCGTCGGTTCCGAACTGCGCGGCTAGATTTCCACATCCAGTTCTCGCGTGAAAATTTATTTTTTCAATAAATGCCGGAGTACCGATATCATCCAATTTGCATTGGCAGTGTTTTACGAATTTATTCGCTATCGCGTACGATTCCGGATGGATCCAAGTTTGATCTAAAGGATTAAAATCGTTCTCCGATTTCTTGCTCCGTTGCGATGAAGTTTCGCTAATCTTTGCTGTCTCAGGCAGAATTCTTATGAACCCTGCGCACTGTTCGAACGTTTTACTACCAATAGTTTTTACTTTCAATAATTGCTCTCTATTTCTAAACGGTCCATTTTTTGATCGCCATTCTATGATGCTTTTAGATCTAGAAACCGTAAGGCCAGCTACTTGTTGTAAAAGATAATGAGAAGCTGTATTGATATCCACTCCTACAAAACTAACAACCTCTGTGACAACCTGTAAACAATTGATACAAAAATCGAATCTCCCATAAAAAAAAACGCGTTTTTATTCAAGTGTAATTTTTAATTTAATTTTTTTTTTTTTGATAAAAATAAAATGGAGTTTAATTTATTCTATTTATTCTGTTCTATTTAGGTTTCTAAAATTATCCTCGATAATATACAATTGTCTTATTTTAAAAAAAAAAACATTAGCTTTGTCAAAAAAAGTTAGCAATAAAAAATTGTGTAATTACTTTTTTTACACATCTATTTCACATTCATTATATAATTCATTGAAAGTTCATTGAAAGATTCATTGAAAGTTCTCAAATTATCTATATTCTCTTTATCAGTTAATATTAAACAATGAATTCATACTAACTTCGGATAGCGACTTCGTCAATTTCATCTGAGGTAGGTCATGTTGATACATCCCAACTCCTAAATGCTTCGGCTCTATCTTAACTAATTCCGCCAACGGATCCTGCAAGCGTCTTGCTATCGAGATAGCCGACACTAGATTCGGATCCAAATCTGGAAACTCGGATTTCGCCTGCGGGCTACAACTATAAATCGAGGCTCCGCATTCGTCAACGATGGTGTACATCGCGTTCAGTGAGCCAAACACGTTCGACTCTATTGCTTTAGTCAGAAACAGCTCGGTCTCTCTGCACGCTGTAGCGTTTCCCAGAGCTATTATCGTGCATCTGTACTTGTTCACTAATTTCGCCAACGTGTTAGCCGCGTCTTTAAATGCCGATAAATGGTTGTGAGGATATATTACAGCGGTGTCGAGCAGGTCGCCCTGTTCCGATATAACGGCAAGCTTACATCCATGACGATAACCCGGATCTATACCGAGAACAATTTTACCTCGCACTGGAGGAGTGAGAAGTAGTTGCTTAACATTAGTCGCGAAAACTTCTATGGACGCTTTTTCCGCATTTTCTTTCAACTCGCTCCTTACACGACGTATAATCTGAGGTTTGATTGATTTTTTATAAGCGTAATCGATGCCATCATTGAGTAAAGTCAAATGAAACATTTTCGCGCTATTTCTTCCCTCTTGTGTATATCGCCATAAGCAATAGTTGCGGAACGCATCCTCGAAAGCGTCGGGGACGACAATCTTTACACTGATGATCTTTTGAGATTCAGCCCGATTAATAGCCAGTATATGATGGGGCTTAATGGCATTCACGTTCGACTTAAAATTGAAGTACTGTTCATACTTTTGCTCGTTTTTCGAATCTTCTACTGTTTTACACTGCGTTGTTTGTATGTCTATAACCGAGGTTTTCCGCAGGGAGTTGACTTTGTCGAAAATGTTCTTATCTTTACTGATGGCGTCCGCTATTATATGCACGATACCGCTTCTGACTTCTTGTTCGTTTCGCAAACCTTCCTTTTGTTCATCTATTAAAGATGTCAACGGTGGTATATCCAGTCCCTGTAAAACTGCATCGCTGATACTTCCTAGGCCCAATCCTCGCGCTTTATCTGCCAGAAGTCGTCTTGATGTCGAAGGTTTATAAAAAGAATAAATATCTTCGAGATCGGCAAGAGACTTTGTAGATGTGATAACAGAGTGAAGCTCCGGTGACCATTTGCCCAATTTATCAATGTTCTTAATAATGGTTGCAGCACGTTGTTTAATAATCTTCGCCTGTTCGAAACTTTCTAAAAGTTCCCTTAACTTATCCGCATCCATAGATCCAGTCATATTCTTTCTATATCTTGCGATAAAAGGTATAGTATTGTCTTCCTTGAAAAGTTTTACTACATTCTCTACAATACATCTAGTTACATTGTTGACTTCGCTTATATAATCAATATCGGTCCATTCCGTGCATTGCGATAAGCTGAAGTTGAATTTTTCATCGAGTTTCACATCATCCTTTACATAAATTCTGGCTGAATTTTTCTGAATTTCTTGAGACACTCCTGCATCAGTAGACTCAATGTATGAGTCTTCTAGCTTTGATCTCTTGTTGCTAGAAGTCTCCAAGTTTCCTTCTTGATTTTTTCTTTTAATAGATTTAACATCTTTGCTCTGTGTATTTCTCTTCACTCCTTTCTTAGTTGGCTGTCTCTTATCTATAATTTCCTTTTTCTTTTTATTTTGTTCCATTATGTAGTCCTCATCTTCAGAATTTTTAAATGTTTTATAATCATTATCATCGGAATCTGACAGTTCAATTATTGGTTCATTATAATTATTTCGTAAATTTCTTTTCATTTTTTTTGGCATTTTCTTATCTGTTAAATTAATAAAATAGTTTTCTCACAATACAAATAAGGCAGAGTACAAGTATCTCGTTTACTCTTTTTATAATTACAACACTATACTTTGTGATAAATATATGGCTGTATTTCAATCATACTATTAAGATAAGATTTCTAATCAATATAAATATATAAATACTTGAATACATCCACGATATTTTTAAAACTTTATTCCTAAAGTAGTAGGAGTAAAGTTCAAGCTGTAAAGTATTTATTCTGGTATGTCTTGGCACAATGTTCTCTAGTAGAATTGGTTTTAAAGGAAGGAATGTCTTCCATGTTACAAAACCAGATTACATTAATTCGATAATATTAAGTATTATTTAATGTAACTATTACCTAAATAATTTTAACTTTAAAAATTCGATGTAAACAATTTTCAACGTGAACCATGAACAAGTAGAACAGAGCGGGAATGATTCACAATTCTAACCTATATTTCAATGTGGAGAAAATTATAAACACTGATATTAAAGGTTTGTTGCATCGCACGCGACGTGAACAAACCTTAAAATTTTATTTCTAAGATGCTCCTGCCATCTTAACGACATTAAGTGTACTCGTTGTCGGACGCATCGACGCAATGTAAGCAAGAAATGAGAAAGTATATAATTATAAGCAATAAAAAGAATATACAATAAAAAAAATATACAAAATAATATAAATAACACTCTATCCTTTCTAATTTTCTAATAATTTTGTAATGTTTGTTTTCTATACACAGAATCTATACACATGTTCCGAGAAGGAAAATTGTCACTTAAGTCACTTACTATTTTCTTTTTTTTTATTTCAAAGTTTTTTGATGCCTACTAAAAAAATTAAAAAAGGAATCAATTTTGAATAATAAATTATTCTCCGCTATAGTTTAAGTTACACAAAAATAATCTGTGGTTTTATTAATTAAAACAGAGAACTATTAAATTACAAAATATTAAAACCTCTACAATACAAAAGTTGCAACAACAATGCTGCAACATTGCAGCGTTATTGTAACGATATTGCTGCAAATTCTGTGCTATGTCATGATTATAATATTATAAAATTGGATTAAATATAAAATTGTTAGCATTTTTTCCCTCCAGTCATTTCTCCCCTCTTCTCCTCCCCCCCCCCCCCCCCCGCTCTCTCTCTCTCCCGATTACTTGCGCACAATTTCTTTTATAAAAAGCAATTAGGGCCTCACCAACTCTGATTAACTTAATCGGTCGATTAAATGTCTGAACAGATGCAATTATAGTCAATTCCAATGTAACAATCGATTAAATTAATCGGAATTGGTGAGACCGGCCATTAATTAACTTAGTTAATTGAACGCTTTTGACGCACCTTTAACGATAATATATCAATGTCGCTTTCACAACACAGGAAAGATGCCGACTGTCACATAGAGGCGGATCGCCAAATATTGACGTAAAATGAATAAATATTATGTATGATATTTATCACTAAACTTCGACGCGACACTCGCGACAATGCTTTTCGTACGAAATTCAATTTTGATAATGATAATCGGAAAAGAAGTGTGGAGCGTTTCGAATACAAAACTCCGACGTGATGCGTTCCGTGATTACCGTCGATCGCGATTCAAATTCCATTTCGAGAATCGCAATATCGAATCGCTCTCGGTATCGCGATTATTAGAACGATCGCGATTCAAACTAGAGTTGCGTAAAGGACCAATTATATCGATTCTTTCATGTAGAAATGAATTTAAAACAATAAAGATATTTAAAATGATTAAAACTTAAGTAGAAATAAATTGCAGTAATTCGCGATTTTCATTATTATTCCTATGTCCGATTTCTTGTTGTGTTATGTTAAGTTAGGTCGGATTAGCTTGCCATGTTTAAACGTCAAAACGTGATAACATGGAGGTTATGGTGAGATCGAAACAGTTCAAGTGAAATTAGGAATAAGCTAGTCTTTGTATTTCAATTCTGTTCATCTATCGGCGTTTAATAATTCAATTAATTCAGTCCCACTTTTGCATTGTTTCATCCAATTGAGATAATGATAGAGCGCTACCGACAGGTGATGAAGCTAATAAGCGAACAAATGAAGAGGTATGGTATGTCTTACAACGCAAAGGGAGTTGTAGAAAATGCCGCTGAAAAAGTGCAGATCAAACTCGCCATTGCGCAGAACTTTGCGACTGAAAAATATAACATCGTTACGAAAGTAAGCAATATTATGTAAATATATCAAAGTATTTTTATTGCAACTATCAACAAAAACATTGATTTTTAATTAATTTCTTGAAATCGACTTTTGTTTTTGTTTAGACACACAAGTGTATTTAAAATATTTTAAATGTTACACAATATACCTTATGTATTTATATAAAATTATTTCTTGATATTTACCAACAAGTTATTTAAAATAATTCAGAATTTTAGACTGAACATAATATTATTCAATATTCCAAATTTTATAAAGCAATTTTTATTTCATAATTTCTTTACTGTTCTTGTTCCGGAAATATCATAAACAATATCATAAACAAAATTATATTTTAATTTCAATTTAAAACTTTATCTGAGATTTACTTTCAGCTATTAATTGCTTGAAATCGAGATTATATTTTGATTTTAAAGAATCAATTTTAAATCCAACAGTCTGAAGGTTCTTTGCTAGAAAAAGAATGTTTTATAGTTGGAAAAATATAATAGCAAGAAAACAATTACATGTAAAATTAATTTTTATGTTGTAGAAACTTAACGACCAGTCTATCATAATACAAGATTTAAATGCAAAGGCATTAGAAACAAACGTACCATTGCCAGGAAAAATCGTTAAAGTGTGGCAATGGTACAACCAATTAGTAGGAATGGATACAGTTGAAACAGCCAGAAAGCAAGTGGTTACCCTTCAAGATAAACTATTCCAATGTCATGATAACAGGAGAATTTTAAATAAAGAATTAACAGATCTCACTTATAAACTGCAAGAGATCTATGCGGAATTAATTCAAACGAAACGAGAGGATCCCAAATATGTGCAATTGACAATAGTAGAACACAAATCTTTACAGGAACAAAAAAAACTCATTAATCAGCTGACATTATCTGAGAAAGAAGAGAGAGATAATTTCATGCAGTTGGCAACTGCAATAAAAGATTATCATATTAGCCAAAACTTAAATGCACAGAAATATAAGTATTTATCTATTATCGCGTCTGCCATATTTGCAATTGTATCATTAATCGGTTCAATGATACTTAATAACAAAAGGATATTAGATGTACGGAACACGATAAAGACAGCACAAGACAAGAATGAATCATTATTTCAAAAGAATATGCACGAACTATCTGATTTTAAGAAAATATTACAATCCTTTGATACAAAGTTGGTAACATTGAACAAACAACAAAGCGCGATAGATTTAACTAAAGAAATTAATAAATCTAATACGTCTAATATTCTTGTATCTTCTGCCAAGTATTCAGCAAATTTGTTGATTTCAGGGCTAAGTTATGTTAAGAAAGGTATTTATGTATGTGGATCATATATTTTTTATAAATAACACAGTATATACATTTAAAAAAATTACAATTGTTTGAATACACAAACCAAATTTATGCAAGTTTTACATTTTTTTTATCTACAGTTCAATAAAATACTTATTAAATTTTTTATAATCAGTACACATATATTTAACTCAAGAATATTATAAAAAAGCTATTTGTAAAAATATGAAGAATTCAGCTTTTTTTTCATAAGAGGGGAAACAGGAGGATAGTAAAAATTATGTTTGCTGTACACTTGCCAGATAAAATGCTTCCTATTTTTTTTTTTATAACTTATGTACATAAACGTATTGTGAGCATTTATTTTCACTGGAATACCGTACGTATTATAACATTATACAATTATATAACTGTAGAAATTATAAATCTTGAATTGAAATGTTACATGAAGATTGTAATATAAACAAGTGTTAATAATTTTATACGTCATTATAATACAAAACATATTTTTAAATATGTGCAAATTATTAAGTTATTGTTTATGAAAAGATGAGATATCACTCTCAAATAACAAAACATATTTTTAAATATGTGCAAATTATTAAGTTATTGTTTATGAAAAGATGAGATATCACTCTCAAATAAATGTCAATATATGTATATCTTATTATTTTAAAGTATGTTAGGGATACATCGAATCATAAAATTATCGAATACCTAATATTCGGACGGAGAACATCAGATGTAACATCAGATATTCGATATCCGGTCGGATATCCGAGAAGGCAATTCGAATCAGATATCCACCATTTTCCGGATACCCGACCGGATTCCGGAAATTTTCTAAAAAAAAAACCTATAGGGAAAAATTGTAATTTTGCAACACTGTATAATTATAGCATTATGAATATGCATACTTATTTTTAGAACATTTGTATAATAAAAAATTAATTTAATGATATAAAATTTCAACCAAATATCGGATGCATCCCTAGTAATATGATCTAATTGAGGATTAAATGTGCAGATATATATTATATATATTATATAATATGTAAGAAATGATGAAAATGTAATTAGCAAAAAATCATAATTATGAGTCCCAAGTTTTCCATTCCATTCCATCTGGTGGTTTTCTCTCGACTGTTTTATTTCCTACTTCTTCCCAATTAGTGCTTAAAACGGTACCGCCAGATTCTATCTATATGTTAAAAAAATGAAATAATTTTTACAAATATATTGACTCTTATTCAATGAATTGACTTATATTCAATAATTTTATATGTATATATCTGTACAAATTAATTTCTAATTGGTTGTTTTTGTTTATCTTTAAGAAACATTTTTTATTTATAAATATACAGATATCTTGAAAAAATTCTTGTTTTATATTAGAGTTTACATTTTTTGTAAAAAAAACAAACTACTTCATAAATTAATTAGTTTTTTGTTACTTAATTTATTAACAATGAACATTTCACTTACAAAGGATTTGTTCATCGCACGTCTCACTTCATCAGATCCATTGCCATATATCTTTTGGAAGAGAGCATTCACTGCAGCCTCACCCTCAGTTTCTTCTGCTGCCTCTTGTCTCTCTATTTCCTTTTCAACTTTATTCCAATCTTTAGATTTTTTACAGGAGCTTGGATATTTGGATGCTTCTTTGCCAGCTTGAAGTATTTCTTGAATAGTATGCATGATTTTAGAAAAATATAATCTGCATATATAATATTTTATAAATCGTAATTCTTCGATATTGCAGAAAAAATATACAAATAATTAAGACTGTTTTCTTCTTTTAAGAAGAAGTACAGACAATATAAACATCATTTTAGCCTTTTTGAATAAATAACATTTTCAATAAATAACAAAGATAAAACGATATTTATGTCAATTATCCTCCTAAAAAAAAGCAGCTTAAATAATATAAAATATAAGTTTAATCTTCTCGTTATGGTTATCTTTGTCATGAAATACATTATACGATTGTACAAGTTGCATGCCTATTTCAAAGTGATTACGTTTAAATCATATGTGAATCTAATAATTGTTTATGATAAGAAAAATGCTTCAAATCTGAAGTAAACAAGTCTTTCCAAATATTTCAATGCTTGGCAAAATATATATTGTATCTGTATTATTTAAAACTGTGAGCGCGAAGTGATTATAATAATGAAAGGAAATGTTATACATTTTTAATAATAAAATACATAAATTACTAAGTTAATAAATTATTTTGGATAACCATTTACCAATATTTTACTTATTAGCAAACATTACTTTTTCTTACACATTATCTTTGTCTTACATCTTATCATTTGACATTTATGTTTGTCTTAAAGATTTTTCGATAAAATAATAAATTTACAACTTACCAGTTGGTATAGGTTTTACTTTACTTAAAACTGGATTTCCTTCCAGTGTTGTCCATCTAATATCATCTCGTTTTTTCAGCTTGATTTCTATCTTGGATGGCATCACTTTGTATGTACATTGATCCTCCACTATAAAGTTGGCTAAATCTAACTCTAAACTATATTCATTGCCAGATGGTAACTGTGCAGACACACTTAGCTGAAAAATAATTTATAATATAGTAAAGTTGTATTTTCAGATTTCTTCCAATTTCACCTTTCTTTTCATTAACAATTGTCTTAATCTTTTAATATTATTAAAGATAGAAGATAGAAAGATCATGAGATACTTCCAACTAGTTCTACCTCCTATTATTACTATCAAAATAATTGATTATCCTCATCTCAAATATTATTCAGATATCTGGATATTAAGTCTACAATTTAAATAATCTAAAAAGGAATAATACATCTGTTCACTTAGATCTGTTCTTTTTTAAAAAAAAAAAAGTTAAACGAGTACGTAATAATTTAAAACAAGCAGTTTTGATGCTTGTCAGCCAGGAATACAACACAGTGGTTATTTTATTTTTATACAAAATGTTAAATGTTTAACATTGACAAACAATAAGGATAGAGTAATTCACTACATATTACATTGTGTTGTCTGCTGAAAACCATTCTTTGTTTTATTCCAATTTCCTAGACAATGGCTATGTTTACATCATGTATTTAGATCTATACAGTAAGTGTCCTTTATCCTCTAAGGCTTGGTTGCACCAATGTTACTTTGACTTCAAACCAAACTTAAAATTCTCTGTCTTATTTTAAAGCAAAAAAGAGAATTTTAAGCATCATTTAAGATCAAAGTAATGTTGATGTAATCAGGATAGATCAGGATTAAGCAAGGTAAACATAGCTATTGTCAGTTCAGAACTTTCTTAAAAAAAAAAAAAAACAAAGATATATGTATAAAATAACTGTGAGATATGCTGTCATTCAAGGCTCCTTTATAGTCTGATAAAATCTGATAACAGGTAAGCCAGTGAAGATACGTACTGTATTTTCTCCATATACGACTTTCATATCTTCTACATTCTTAGCGAGTATTGTCACAATTACATGGGTCTCCGTTTGATACCAATCGTGTTTTATTTTCGGCACGGGCATCTATAAAAGTTATGAATGTCAATCTAAGTACACAATGTATTCTTCATATATGGTTACATATTTTTATTAAATTATTCATATTGCTTACATTCACTTCATTGTTCTTCAATTCGATAATAGTCTCGTTTTCATCCATTGTAGCTTATTGCTCGATCACATCAAAGCAGTTGAGCGTAAATATAAATATCAAATCAACAACCTTCAAATTCCTCGATCTTCTCGAATCCTATGATAGTAGAAACAGCAATCATCCCATTCCTCGGTCTTTTTCATGAAACTCCCGAAACAGTTCGAAACTCTCGTACACTAGCGGCACCAACATCTTTTTATAACATGGATGTAAACTACGTATTACACTGCTGATAAAATCGCAGTATCAAAAAACAATGTGACGCGAGTCTGTACTGCATCCACAATTGTGAATAAAGACAAAGAGAAATCTGAGAGTGATACCGAGATACTATTAAAGACCGTCAACCCTGGGCAAATTTTCGGCAGTATAAAAAGGGCCCGGAAGTAATTGAAGAACGCTGACATTATCGACAATTAATTTAAAGTTGCTATTATTAATATAAATATTTGGCTTATGCATTATTAAATTCATTTTTTATTATATAAATGTTTTTTATTTTTTATAAATATAAATTTTATAAATATTGTTTTTATAAATATTGTATAAACTGTGCATACTTGTAAAGCTATAATATTCTATATAATATTCTATATACTGTAGAAAAATTACAATTTTTTCTCTGTTATACAATTTTATCTCTGTGATAATCAACTTTGACGATAATATTGAAATCACAATTTTAAAGAAAAGTTCGAGTATTATTAAGTTGTAAATGCATAAATACGTCTACTAAACTAATAAATCATAAAATTAATACAATATTATCAGTTAACTTTTAATCACTTCAATATTCTCAAGGACGCGAACTCCTGTAAGGATGTTGATCTTTAATAGTATCTTATCGGTGGAGCGGCCAGGGATTTAGCTGTAGAGTATATCCACACAACTTGCACAGTTGCATAAACGTAAAGAAAATTATCCAATTATATTTTACGTGCTTCTTTATAGGAGAAATGTAATTGGATAATTTTCTTTATGCATACGTTTATGCGGCTATGCAAGTTATGTGGATATACTCCTTAGGGGTTCCGTATATATACAATAAGTCCGGATCAACAATAAATTTTTAAGTCTTAAGTCATAAGCAATGGACGAATCACAGTTGATTATTCTTCTCGCATTCGATTATAATTGGTCAATTTCTTATGACTTAAAAACTTGAATCATCTATTGCAGATCCAAATTAAAAGGAACAGGAAACAGAGAACAGAGAATAAAAATTTCAACCTATCAGAAACTATGTATTTCACAATACATGATTTCTGATAGATTAAAATTCTTATTCTCTGTTTCCTGTTTCTTTTATTATGTGAAGCTTCTTATAATTTCTTAACCGATTTTTTTAGACTAAATATGTACACAACTTGCATAGCTGCCTAAACAAATGCAAAAGAAAATTATCCAATCATATTTCTTTTATAAAGTTGTACATAAAATATGATTGGATAATTCTCTTCATGCATACATTTATGTAGCTTAAACATGTGTGAATATACCCTTAAGCCTGATACAAGGTCTATTTTTTGTTGCTGCACTTTCTGAACTGCAATAAGTTCAAGTGAAACATATATTTTTTCACTTCAACCGCACTGTGTGCATCAATTTAAAGAGTGCAGCAATAAAAATCAGACTGAGCGCCTTGCGCACAATAGTAGGAATAAGGAATTAGAAATAAAGGATAAACGATTTTAACCTATGAAAAATTGGATACATCGGAATACACGATTTCTTATAGAGTGAAATCTTAATATTTATTCCTATTCCTAATATTCCTATTCCTTCATTGCGTGCAGGGGTTTATAATTAAAAGCACAGGGTATCAATTCTAGAGATCGATTCTGCATCTTGAAACGAGGTGAAAATTACAAAATTGAGCGAACTTACTAGAATACTGATAATTCATTGATCAATACTTAGTAAATTTGCTTGTTTTTGTAATTTTAACTTGTTTGAAGATACAGAATCGATCCCTTGTTTTGAAACGAGGTGAAAATTACAAAAGTGAGCAAATTTACTAAGTATTGACCAATAAAATTATCAGTAAATTCGTTTATTTTTATAATTTTCACTTCGTTTCAAGATTCAGATACTCGTATTCAGGCCTTATATTTAAGGTTTCCTTAAACTTATCTTTAGATACTCAGCAGCCAATGAAATAATTCGTAAAGTATCTAAAGATAAATTTAAGGAAGCCTTAAGTACAAGGTCTGACTATGGAATACGTGCAAGAATCAATCCCCTGGTAATAGGAATAACAGATTTCAACCAATAAGAAACCGTAATTCGAAACAAGTCCTCGACTTCCGCACCTTGGATGTAAGGCTTTAAACGCGGCGGCGGCAGCAGCTGTTCCCGAGTTCCCGTGGCATTTTCTCAGACTGGCGCGCCATCTAGATACGCGCAATTGCTCTTTGCCAATGCAATAGCGACCGATTTCAGAATGGCGACTGTCTTCATTTAGGAGGGTACTGGTTTCACGCTCTCTTGTGGTACTCCGTGTGATTGACGTGTGTCCGTGAGGCCTTCTATGCCAAACCGTGACACGGAACTCACCGAGAATGATAATCGACAATCCGGACGTGTTCAAGGCTTGGCTTACTGCCGTGCTGGAACCGTTGTAAGTAGGCCAGTCTTGTACCCCCCTGAAGAGAGTGCACCACTCCGTGCGTGTGTGTACGCGCTCGGTGTTCGTAAATGGCCGTACATGTGGTTAATGCTGTGCTGTGCTGCACACTCCGTGTGGCATGATATATATTTACACGGGAGAAATGCATTGACAATCGCCACTTCTGTGTTTCTTTCTCTCCATCCCCCGAATACCCTTGCACCTGTCTTCGTCTGCACCAACATTACTCGGCTTTGTTCTATCAAATATAGTCAATATTTAACCATCTCTCTTCTTAACCGATTTATCAATTGAATGCGAATATTAAATTCTGGGATCGTATTGCACTATTATTTGTTGGTCCCTTATTTAATATGTTGCAAATTGTGCACAGCAACATTATGCATTTGGATTAAGTAGATAAAAATTTTGGTATTTTTGCTTATGAGGATTATCTTTGTCATATTCCGCAATTATTAGGGTGATTAGGAAATTATTTTATTGAGCAGTAGATACTACATGCTTTGTATATTTTAGTATATAGTTTAGTTTTTGTTCTCAGTAAGCAGACTTTATGAATAAACATTATGTCATAATTTTCCACTTGATTATATTGATTTATTTTATTTATATAACTTTTTATTACATAACTATTTAAAGAAGTTTATTTTTATCTCTATAAAAGGAGAAAACTAATTAAATGTAAGCTTTGCTTTCATTAAGTCTTACAAAGTACATGTTGAACGATCTATTTGTGTTGAAATACTACAATGATATACGACATACAAAATGTTTCTTATTCATCTTGTAATTTAGAGATTTCTAACATTTCATTTGAAAAAAATTTTAAGCTGAAAAAAAAGCTTTATGTCATTTATAATTTTTGTTACTAATTGTGAATTATAGGATTATGATTTATAGAATTGAAAAAGTAAAGAAAAAATAAGATGTAAAGTTATTCAAAAAGATAGCAGGTAATTTAGTTGCTATTAATTTAAAATAATTTATTATACAGTAAAATCTTATTTAGAATATATAAAATTTTTAAATTAAAATAGATATGAATTACATTTAATATACGTTTTCTCTTAGCTTGTTTCATATAAGATATATAAAATAATACATGATAATTTTTTTTACTTAAACTGAAACATTTATATTTTTTTGTTTTATTTATGTATCTTTTTACATTGTGTCTGTTGAGTGAATGTCTATGATTAAATAATTGATTTTCTTTTGCTAGATGCGATGCAGATCCTGCTGCTTTGGCCAAATATGTTTATGCATTGGTCAAGAAAGACAAAACTTTGGAGGAACTCCGCGGTGACATGGTTGAACAATTGGATGTATTTCTGCAAAAAGGTGCGTTTATACAAAATATTCTAAAGAAATTGAAAATTTGATTATCTATCGCCTTCCTGATGTGAAAAACATACTGCAATTGTTGTTTTTAGAAACCAAAAACTTTGTGGAGTTGCTTTTCAAGACGTTGGAGACTCAGGATTATGTGTTTCCACCGCCTAAGAGCGATCCAGATGGTGGTGGGACACCACCTGGCGTAAATCCATCAGCTCCAGTTGTATCATCGTCAACGGAGAAAATAATAGATGCAACAATTCCACTAGTACCTATTATTACAAATCCCCCTGCTCCACTTCAAATTAATGGATCGGCTCCTGCAGTAATTAGTAAACGCGAGACTAGAAAATCTGATTCAGATAAGGATAAAGAAAAGGAAAAACGATCTCGAAGCAGGTAATCTTTCCTTTCTTTCTTTGAAGATAAAGAATTATCTGTGATGATTTATAATATTTATAAAATCAATGCTCATCATGCTTATAGTTTATATGAAACAGGAGAGCTCAAAAATATAAGAATACAAGAATTTCAGTACATTAATTATTAAATACATTTACTAATATATTTAGTACTTAATAATATTGGAATTTCAATTATATTATTATACTATGTAAAATATAGGAGTGGGAGAATGAGATCGAGAACACGATCACGATCACGATCATGGGAAAGAGACAGACGTAGATCTAGAAGTAGAGAACACATTCGGCGTGATAGAGAAAGAGATAGAAGTCGCCCTTGGCGAAACGAATCTCCACCGATCAGTACCAGACGACATGATCGCCGGTACGATCACGTATTTGTATTTTGAAATAAACAACAGAATTTAATAAAATTTTTTTTTTTGTTGAAACTTTATCACAAGAGGCTTTTTTTTTTAATATTTTGAGTCTCTTTTCTAGAATTTTTAAACAATCCTTGAATATTTTATTATATAGTTTTATCTTTTAGACGTACTAGGAGTCGCAGTACATCTCCGATACGACCTAGAATACGCGACGGTCCAGATAGTCGCGATCATCGAGCAAGATTCAGGAATAGATCTCCGACGCCGCTTCGATCCCGATCGCGTTCAAGATCAATTGAGCGAAAGAAGATCGATCGCTTTGAAAGGATAGAGGTAGATAGAACGGAACGAATAGAGGGAAGTCCTGGTGGTGGTACACCAACTCAAGATAGTAATCA